ATAAAAGCAAGCTAAACTCTTAAGTTACAGAGGTATAAAGATTAAATATTCCCCCTGAGAACCTACCTGTGAATGACTTGTTTCCTTCCCCCCCTCCTTTTACCTCTTTTCTTCTGATGCCATGGATTAACCCAGCTTAGCCTTCCCCCAGCACTGCAGCCGAAGCACAATCCAGCAAGTGCCATCAGCGCCAAGCAAGCGCTCCATCTTAACACCTTCCTCCTACACCCCCTGAGCTACAGCAAACAAACAGGTGTACGTTTAGTCATCTCTTTCCTCCCAGAACCACGCTTTACATTAAATACTTTTTTCATTTCTCTTCCCCAGTGAGTTAGGGAGCACATAAAATGCATCACACTCTGTCTTTATTTTTTACAGGCAGATTCTTCTACCATCCTCTCCTAAAAGGCTCTTTTCATCCTCTGGAACATTTTAATCCCTCTTCTCCACAGCTGCTCTAGTTTGGGGTGGTTTTTTTGAGCACAGAAGTGTGTTCAGTATTGCCAGGGAATATGGGAGTCCCAATATGTCCTTCCTGACATATTTCCTTTACTGAAATACCTCTTCTGAGCTGTCCCTTTGCAATTTTCATGCATGAGAATGGTGGCTCATGGTGATGTTAGGGTCAGGCAAGACAAATAATGACATGATCCTGTGTCATTCTTGAGGCTTTCAGGGATGAAGAAGGAAAAATGTGGAACTATTAAACAATGTATTTAACACGAACAAAATAATTGATACAAACTAGGTTGCAACTAGCTAACAGAAACAAAATGTACCACAGATGTGGTAAGAACAAACCTACAAACATAATAAAGAGAAAAGCTGACATCTACCTATCAGACTGCAAAAAACGTCAAAAATCTGTGAACTGGTATTATTAAAGAAAAAGCCCTTTTATAGGAATTACCAGTGTGTCCCCTATAAATGACTTCGTAAATAATCCCTCCTGCTTCCACCATCATTCTCTGTGTTATTGTTTTGCTGGCTTCCCAGCAAATGCTTTAATGATCCTTACTGCCACGGAGTGCCCTCTCACTGCCGTGACTCAAGGTCCCCAATAACTACCTCTCCGTTGTGAAATCTAATGTGAAGGCCAAACCCTACCAGCCCACAGCATACTAAGGTCTAATGAATTGCTTAATTAACATATTCAATACAAATGACAAATTATGTTACATTCTTTACTTCCATGCCTTTAATTATCTTGTCTTTCAAAACATTTTAAGAAGTCTTACATCACACAGTCAGTCTTAAAAGCCACAGATTTATGGCTATGGGCTGGTTTCATCATTTATTTCCTTCTTTCCTACACGTTTCAGCTCATATAGCTTTTTGCCTAGAAGTATTATTTTACAGTCATATGGAACACTTAAGCAGTAAGTAAATACATTCCTAAACACAGAATATAAGATAAATATGAAGTGGGAACAATCCTGATTTTGTCTATATAAAAAAAAAAAATGGCCTCCTAGTAGCATTAGTGTTCAGGATAAAATAACCAAATCTAAATGAGTGCAGTGAAAATATTCACTCAGTGCTAAGCAGTAGTCAAAAAGGACAGACTGGATAAAATGCAGGCAAAATGCATTAGCAATCCTCCTGTAACCTTCAGAGAAGGGAAGAAGGCGCAAGTCCAGGAGTGGTACAACTTGATAATGTCTTATGTTCTACATAATTTATATTAATAATGAACTGAAAAAATAGGTGTGGCAAAGAGGTTTTCATAATGTTTAGAAAGGAAGAGTGGGATGGGATTTTATTTTTAAGTCAAATTCACTGACACATATCTAGGAAATTTGACAAACCCAGAAGTGCGTAAGAACATAAGAAAAATTCTCTTTAACCTCCTTGTCTGTACAATACACACACTAACCTCCCAGGTTAGTGGGCTGGGGAGGAAAGCAGGTAAGAGCAAACATGTACGTGAGAGCGACTTCACTAGTCCATGCATAGGCTGGTTCCTCAATCTCACACACAAGTCGATACTTCCCCATTTTCACCATGCACTCACTTCAGCCTTCACTGAATTTATGAGGTTCTGGCATAGATTCCCAGTACAGTTTTAGGTCATGCTGGCAGAGAACAAAAGTTCACCGTAAGGAACTGCTGCTTGAAGAGACACAGTCAAATGCGCAACCTGAATCTCCCACATACAAGTCACGCACATACATGGGCATGAAATGAACTGAAAACAGAGATTAAGGTTTGTGTTTAAAACATGACTTGGAGCGCTGGAGATAGTCTGCTGTTCCACACTAGAGCCAAAAGAATAATTACAGGCTAGAAAGGAGCTTAAGAACGCACTTGGATATTACAGGTCTGTGTGAGATAAGGAGCATAAAGCAGTCAGGATTAAATGTCAGTCTTAACGGTGATTTCCTCACATCTGTGATTGCTCTGATAGGCGATGGGCTTTAGCAGCTCTCCTTAATGTTAAGTTACAAGAGCTTAGGGAGCAGTGACAGCTACAAAGTAGAAAAAGCCCTAAACCAGACAAACCTCGTGAACATTCTTGTAATTTTATGTATCTTAACTCCGACATAATTGTCCCATGGAAATCCTTCGGTATATTACTGCAGACTACCCAGGGACTGGAGGAACACATTACAAAACATGCAAAAGCATTTAAAGAAATTCCAGTTACACTGGCTTCTGAAATGCTCCAGTATTAGCTTGTGGGTGATCCTGTCCATCTGACCAGCTCTGTAATGTTCAAACTGTCATATTGATGCATATTCACATTCAGAGTAAGTGCATAGTTTAGCGCTCAGCCAGCTGTTGCTAATGCATTAAGCAGTAACGCTCATCTCAAAAATATTATTTTATTTGGTAGCATGCTTCAAGTAACTGATGAAAACTGGCCTTCAGTCTTAGTCCTCAAAACCATACAAGCTACCTGGTGTAACATTGCACTGTGTGCACAATTATTTACAGTATCTCAAGCAACTATCACTTAAAAACCATCCTTTTGATTCACCCAGCCATAATGAATTCTCTGTAGATTTTTAATCGATCAAACTAATTCCTCAGGTGGAGCGGTAATTCTTGAAAATTTCTCAATTTTTTTGAGCAGGCTAAGTAAGCAGATTTATCAATTTCAGCTGGAGAGGATGCATACTTTCACAGCATGAATAAATGAAATAAGCATTCTTTCTCCTAAGGATTCTGCTCATGCTTTTCCCCCTCCCCCCCCCATATGGTTTTCAATAAAATGTATCATTGTATTTTCTACATCTCATCAGACTCTATACAGTGTACAGACTTTCTTTCCCCAGTTAAAGTTGGTCTTTGAATGTATCTCCTTAAATATTTATTTCACCCTTCTCCCAGGTACCCTCACTGCATTTACACTAGAAAAACTTGTTTAAAGGTGATGGAATGTGGAAACTCTCCTTCCCACTCCCTACATGACACCTCACATCCAAACCTTATTTGGGAATTTTTTCTTAGGCTTTTACAGCCTTCATCCCTGCTTTGGTAAGCAACATAAGTCTTTTTACACAGATCACAAATTAAAAGCAACATAAGACACCACATTTTGTTGCATTTAAACCATCTGGCCCATTTAAAAATTATGTATTAATCCAATATTGGTCAGAGATGATGAACCAGTTGTTGAGCATCCCTTGGCATCTTGAGAAAAGGGCACAATGAGGATAGCTCTTCCTTAATCACGTGTTTTTATCCTAAATAGAATGGGTCACTGTGACCGGTAGCAGAATATGGTTAGCTCAGCCTCCCCTGCTCACAAAGACCTTGAACAACACATCAGAATGGGCAATGCTGTTGGCAACTAACATCTTGAGCACCTTGGGTTTCCTTACACTCACTAAGCAACCAGGAACTGAAATGACACCCCCTACTCTGCACTTAGTAACTAAGCCAACCATTAAATATTAGCTACCTACACTCCTGATCGGAGCTAGTTTTACAGTCAGTGAGTTTATCACGTTCTCAGTCCTCTGAACCTCTTCCTTTTTTTTTTTTTTCCCTATCCATGATATTCAATCACCTGCCTTCTACTTCACACCATTTTCTTTCTCAATTTAACTGTTTCTGACTTGATTTCCAGGGTAAGCAATGCTAAGGAAAAAAAATAGAACATGCTGAAATAATACAATGATTGCCTTACAGTTGACTACAATTCAAGGGGAGAAAGAAACCACACATAAAAAACTTCTATAAATATTTTTTCCTAGTGCTTACGTATTATGCAAGCATAACTAGTGAAGATCTAGTGCTACTACTGCTTTTAAAGAAGCAGAAAAACGTAGGAATCCCTGTACTCCTTCCTTCAGCATGAAAGGCACAACAAAGTGATCAACAGGCTGTGCAAAATGAATGTGACTCCTGTACTTGCCAAGTATTACCAGGTTCAGGATACATTGATGGGGCCATTGAATTGTTTGGACTGCGTGATTTTTAGGAAGGAATCTGTCTCTATCACATACTTTAATTTCATGTGTACAGAAGGCATTCATTTTGACCATAGAGAAAGTATAAGACGACTTTGGAATGCAGGCTGGAAGAGACTACATGAAAAAGGCTATTTTGCATAAATTCATCTGTCTCACTGCACAATCTTGTACATACAATATGAGAAACATGAACTAATTATTTAACATTTGCATACAAATTACAAGTTTTCAGGTTTTGTGGCAAGGTTCCCTCTGTGATCTTGGGCCAGTTTCTGAACCTCTCTAAATCTCTGCTTACTTGTTTGCAAAACAGATTAATATTAGTTATGCAGAATGGGGCGAGGTTTAATTAACTCAAGTTTGTAAAGGGCTTTCTGATCTTCAGATGCTATGTAGAAGAAGGACTAGAAAAATCCATTTAAGAAGCAAAGAAACATGTAAGCCCGCATCTGCACAGCAAACATTTGGCATATCAAATTCATACAGAACATTTGTATTAACATTTCTTTGCAGTAGCAGCAAAAATTACACCAGCAGAAAGTATAAAATATGTATATTAAAAATAACTAATTCACTTACTTCTTCCTAATTTCTAGGTCTGAAACTGGAACACATCTCAGGCCAGCTCCCAACACCATGAGGGATGACGTTAGTAACACAGTTACTCTCAGACCTAAGAAAAAAACAACAGTATTTTACAAGTCAAGTCAGCAAAGTTGCAAAAAAAATGTCACCTAAATATATATATTTACATGCAGCCCCACAGAAGTAATGCATATATCTTTCAAATCATAAACACTTGGGTGCTGATATGAATCACAGATACGTTATGAAATCCTGTGGGGGTTTTTATACTTAAACTACAGAATTACAAAGGCTTATAGCTATTGCACAGGACTGTACCCAAAGATCTTACAGACATTCTTGGAAGTGAAAAGTGATAATACAGTATTTCCTTTAGAATTAGAAGCATCAGGGAACATGCTGCAGTGTGTGATGTGATGTGAAATCTAGGTAGATCCAAAGAAAAATCTGTACTTGTACATTCTTTTCCAACCACTTAATGAATGCAGACACAGCAGTGTTATTGTTTTCTTTCATAATGCAGATATGCATTTCATCCTGAAGAAATAACTATTTATTCAGGGGCAAAAAAGTGTGAGCGTATTTTTGCAGTCCTTGCAATTAGGCCAGGTTTTTGCTGCGCTCAGCTCAAATTGTCAGAGGTTGTAAATATAATGCATTTGAAAAAAAGCTATAAATGATTCCTTGAATATGTTTTTTTGTCATACTGTTCTTCTCAACTGAAAAGCACTTAGATTAGAAACAACTTTATCTTAGTGCTGCGATTCCTTCTGCCCGCAGTTTACTTGCTGCTGCTGAGGTGTTTCCATCAGCAACAAACAGAAAGAGAATGCTGACAGCTGAGGGGCTTAACCTCCGCAATCTTGTAAAACACCAAAATCATAAATACGCGCAATTAAAAACCGCTGATACAGTCTACATCTGCGAAGTCATAAAGCTTGAAACGATTTCACAGCCACAAACAGAAAATAAAGGGTTCCATGTTCTTAGAAAAACATAATAAAAACAATTAGATTATGACAAACATGCAGAACCTCTAAATTTTAGGTGCAACTAGTAACTACCCAAAACACAGACTGTAAAAGAACAGGTCCCTGTGATAACTCACCTAACAAATTATTTTGATTCTTTCTAAAACAACCTATTTTCAGAGAAGCACTCCCTCTATGTTAATGACTCCTGTAATCAGTACAATTCAACCAGTAGTCGCACCAAATATTTTGTCTCCATGCAAATTCTAGGGGGTTTTTAACAAAATGTAATTTTAGAGGACAAGGCATCACCCTGCTCTTATACTGCAGCAGCTCATAGTGAACCTTACTCACAGGTACGCAACTTCCTTGTGCTGGGAACTGCACAAACCAAACCAAAGACGGCTCCTCCCCCAATCAACCCAGCCCAAGTCAACCAAACCAGAAGTAGTTAATGCTACAGGTTTCCTGGCGTGGAAGCATGACTTCCTTTGGTATGGCTCAGTCATCAACAAAAGGAATGCAACTTGCAGTCCTGTGACTCTGAAGGACACCTCTCATCCCTGATGCCCTGAAGAAGGATCATCAGCTGAGAATATGTTTCCTTAAAGGATTTCCAATGCCCGCCCAGACTTACTTGTTTTACTATGTGCTCAACCAGCACTTGTTGCTGCTAAACTGGTTTTTCAAGTGTGCATGTTCAGAGAGCCCTAACTAAATGCCTGGGGAATAATGCTGTTCAAAATCTTGTTGTTCTTCATGTTTGCCGGGCCACCACGTGAGCCTCCATGCCATGCTTAACCCCATACTACCATACTGCGTACCTTGTGGGGGTAATTGTTTGTATCACGATCACGTATGTGATGCTTCTGCATTTTCTCCTGGGAAATGAACCTCTGTTAGCCTTGCTTTTGTGCATAATTAGAACTTGTACGCAATGAGAATTAGAATTTTGTTGATGGAATATCAAAAGACGAGTCTTTTAACTGAAAAATACACAGTTTTCCATTTGGAAGTGCTGCTGCAATGTTTCAGGAAAGCTTTAGCAATGTACGTGTCATCTTCATATTATCCATGTAAACCAGGGTCTTTTTGAATTACGTTTCACAGCACGTTCTGCCTTTCAGGAGACACAAGGGCAGAGCCAGCCAGCCTGGGAGGTCCTGCTCACGGGGCACCACAGAAGGCACAGGCCTGCTGCAAGCCCAGGGCACAGCAGTAAAGTAGTATCATACAGAAATTTAAGTTTAAACCACCACAGGACACAAGGAGTGTTTCCAAATAAAAAAATCCCTTCTATTTGATTTTTAATTTCTAAAAAAGTCCCCACACAAACAAAAAAAAACCCACACCAAACCACAAGCTAAGAAAAAGGTTTAATTTAAATCTGCAGAGAAGTTTCCTAAGAAAAACAACACGCAATTCGCTGAAAACTGAATTGGATGACAAAGTTGTCCCCCCAGCCCTAAATTTAGGCTTATTTTTAATGTCAACCTTACGCATTGGGTAATTTTAAAATAAAATTATCAGTTAAAGCCTCACATTCAAGTGGGTTTGATCTCTCCAAACATTCTGTGAAGTCCTCACCTTGAATACTATACATTGTAATGTGCCACTTTTAAATGTTTTGATCACACAGATTATTCTTTGGTCACTTTTTTTTTTCCACTTTACCTCAAAAACACACACACCTAAAAACTCCTTTGGTTAAAGCTGCATGTTGAAAATGATGACACCAAAGTAAACAAGTAAAAGACTGTCAGACAAAAAGCATATTAGACATTTTCTTTGCTAATTACATGATTTATTTCTACCCGCTAAGCGTCTTCCCCCTTTATTATGTTTTACATTTTAACTCTCTGAATCCATCCTCCTTTTCATATCTGTTAGAATTGGTCGTTAATGGTATTTTCATAATTATTTCAGTATTTTTGCTTCGAACATCGCAGCGACCCTTAATCTGAATTGGACATCTTGTATTACCCTAAAAGGTGCACCCCAGAGTGTTCCAGATAGCAGCATGCATCACGGGGACAATAAACCAAAGTAACTAACCAAGCCTGAAGAAAAACCCTGTAAAGCCTGCAAGAAATTATTTCTCTATTTTAAAAGATCTAAGTAATTCACAGAACCACGATTTTGAGTAGGTGTAATAACTTCATTAATTTTATCCTGTAAATGCAACTGGTAACTGATATGGGGGAGCTTTACAACCTAAAATCCATAATCCAGTTTCCAGTCCCCTTCTATCAGAGGTTTCTGACACAGAGCAGAAAAGGGAAGAAACTTCCTAAAACTGATTTTCTGACAATGGAGGAAGTTTTCTGTTTCTCGGAGCCTCTCTGGTTAGCTGCTCATTTCCACCCTGCTCTTGCGGGAGGTTTCTGGGCCCCCCCAGTGGCACTGACTGATGAGCAAACAGTGGCCACATTCCGAATGGCCAAACATCAGGTGACAGTAAGATAAAAGTCAGAGCCAGCAGCAGAAATTGAGTCAGTAATGAAAAGACATATTAATTATAATTTATGAATGAAATCGTTCAACTGTTCAACTCTCCAGTGTCTAACAACACATTCTGCTTTGCAACTTCAGCAGCGCACACTGCATTTGCTGGGTTTTATTTATTTTGAAAACAGCTACCCCCAAACACCTGCCTCTACTAGAGATTTAACACAACCTCTCAACCCACAGTTCCCTTAACTCTCCTGCAAAACACACTTTTAATCCAGCCAAGACCATGTTGTGCTAGTAAAGCGTAATGCTGACCTGTGCTGGCAGGATGCGCTGACCATGCCTGGACCTGGGACATTCCCAGCGGGCCCACCGGTTCCCATTCCTCTCTGCTGGGAAGGCAGCTGCTGCAGCAAGGCCCACCGTGTGATGAACCCAGGGCCCTCCATCACCCACAGCCCAACAGAGCAAATGGGCACAGCCCAACACGCCACAGCCTGGTCTCTCAAGGGAGCTGGAGGCAGCACCCGCCGGTGGTACCCAGCTGCTCTTCAGCTCTCTCACCGTAACATCAAGCAATAGCATCCAGTAGGTGGGTCTTGCATCCTCCACAACTCTTTCAGCACGCCTGAATTTCAAGGCACTTTGTAATAACGTGAAAAGAAAATCCTCCCTCTCCCCAACGCATTACTGACTTGTAACCCAGGTAATTGATTTATTATGCCCAGTTTAACAAGAAACAATAGAAGATGTTGCACAGCTACAAGGAATTCCTCATTCCAACTGTTTCTACATCATCAGTTTGTCATTCAGAAAGAACGTGATTAACAACCGTTTAAGGCTTTTGTAAGGTTTTGAGGAGTATGACCATTTCTTCTCTCACCTGTCAGTCACCCGTTACGGTCTGTCAGTCACATGTTTTCTAATGTCGTAGTGGCAGCACACCCTGTGCATCCCCGCCGGCTGAGGCCAGTGTACGCAGCACCCCAGTCCCCAGCCACACTACAGACCCACCGACAGCAACACACTTCCAGTTCAGAGCATCACACAGATGGCAGATACTGATTGGGTGTGGTTCCTTCCCCCTTGCTCCTAATGAAGTGGGGAGAAACTTCCAGGGATGTGCAGAACAGACACTTTTCACCTTTCTGCTAAGATTAATGGAAGTTTGGCCAGAGGAGAGGCTGCTGGATTCAGCCCCGCGCATGGCACAGCAGCAGAGGATTTCCCTCGTACAGCTCACACACCCCACTCTGAGATGCACTAACATTTGAGGGTCTTCCTTCCTTCAGCTGCAGATACTAAAATCAGTCCTCACAGAGATCCAGCAAGGCTCTAAGTAGAAACGAAGCACATCAGGCTGCTGCACATTTTCAGAGTTTTTGAAGACCAGGCTGGAAGCAAGAACGGGCCCTTCTGACACTGAACTGAGAGTATTTGCTTAACTACTCTACTGTTATTTTGACTAAACCATGTCTAGCTAAAAAATAAAATAAAATAAAATCCTGCCTTGATGAACACACCATGAAATGAAAAAATCCCCAATATCAACAGCCGTTCCAACAATTCACTGTTAAATCGTGCTCTTCCTCCCAGTTTAAAGCAAATTCAGTTTTCAAACTAATTTTGCTTTGCCATTCTTGACAAAACAAAGCACCAGCTCTTG